TTGAAAAACACTGCTCTAGACATCTCAAAGAACACAACCCCCGTCAGGTTACGCAATGCAAGTGGTCTGAATGATATGTTCCCCCAGTGAAGGAGGATCATGATTCTCTACCTCCTTGGCTGCTCTCTTCTTGGATGAATGAATGAATGAATGAATGAATGAATGAATGAATGAAAGAAAGAAAGAAAGAAAGATTGTTTCCTGCCTTTACTGGCCACAGATGCCAGGTTTTTTTTTCCTGTGTTTGCTGCCATGTCCAGATACAAGACCTTAATTTCCCCCCTCCCTCTCCCCTGCATATAGAATAAAGAAGGCGATACTCTGAAAGATCTACTAAAAGCCAACGTCGAGAAAGCTGTGAAACTGGAAGTCTACAACATAAAAACGATGAAAGTGCGCGAAGTGGAGGTCATCCCTAGCAATATGTGGGGAGGGCAGGGACTGCTAGGGTCCAGTGTGCGATTCTGCAGTTTCCAAGGCGCCAATGAACAAGTCTGGCACGTGCTGGTAAGCAGGAAAGCGAATCTCCGTGTTGCATTGGGCTTTCTGTGATTGCTGGTCCTGATTGGTTGTTATCTCGAGTCACAGCTGGATGATCAGATTTTAGCTGCTAAGAAGCACTGCTGGGGTGAGTCACTCATCTTAGCCCAACTGACTTACATGGTTTTGGGGGGAAAAGATGGGAGGTTTAATCTCTCATTAAACTGTGTCATCTGGGTACAGATACCTCTGCAATAACCATCAAAATTTGCAACATCATTCACATCGATATTAATCCTCTAATCTTAGAATTATAGTATATTAAAAAGTTGAATATAGTGGACCTGTTCGTTTTTCCCTCAACGTATTTTCTAATAAAAATGTAATAATAACATTAAGCATTGAATATGCTTATTTTTTACTTGTCCCAGCTTCTGCCAACCTAGCAGTTTGAAAACACACAAAAAATGCAAGTAGAAAAATAGGGACCACCCTTGGTGGGAAGGTAAGAGCGTTCTGTGCATCTTTGGCGTTGAGTCATGCCGACCACATAACCACGGAGACGTCTTCGGACATCATTGGCTCTTTGGCTGTGAAACAGATGAGCACTGCCCCCTAGAGTCAGAACGACTAGCACATATGTGTGAGGGGAACCTTTACCTTTATGCTTGAGTAACATGGTCCGTAGCCATAACTATGGTCTTTCTCTCTTGTCTAGGATGTGGAGCCAGCTTCTCCAGCAGCCTTAGCTGGCCTGAAACCCCATTCTGACTATATAATTGGATCGGATCAGATACTTCATGAGGTAAAAGATTCAGAAGAGTTATAAAGTCAGGAGAGATTGGATTTTGGTGACGATGGCTGTGAATATTTCTTAGGCTTCTGCATTGCTCTGCACTTGGTTCCCTCCATCTTCTCTTGTGCTTGATTTCTTATTGTAGAAGCATTTTTGTGCATAAAACTCTCCTTTGGTTTCAGGGTCCATCTCTTGGCTGCCAAGAGTTTCATGCAAAAGGCAAAACTAACCACAACGTAGTGGGGAAGAGAGATCATTGCACATGGGACTGCCATTTTCAGGCTTCCCTTTCCTGGGTCTCTAAACCAGGAGTGTCAAACTCAAGGACTACAGGCTGGATCTGGCCCATGGGGTGCTTAAATCTGGCCTGCGGGACCGGCATGGAAATATCAAAGGACTGACATGCGGTGTCTCTGCCAGCCAAAATGGGCCCAGGGGCCTCCGTGTGGCTTGTTATCAGCTGGCAGAGTGCTTCTGGAGTCTCCAGAAGCATTCTGCCAGCTGATAAACAAGCCACATGGAGGCCCCACGAGGCCGCTGTGTGGCCTGTTTTTGGCCTTCCTGGCCGCCAGAGCACACTGCCAGCTGAAAACAGGTGGTGTGCGGCCTCCATGCGGCCCGTTTTTGGCCAGCAGAGTGCTGCAGGAGGAATGGATTGGACTGGATTACAATTATGTGGCCTCAAGTAAGTGCCTGATCTGGATAGAAAACAAGCAATATCCTATTTTAATACTACACTTTAATGCCAGATTTTACCTACTGTAGTTCCATTTAATCTACAATGAACAATCTATAATTGGCAGTCATTTCTATTGACTATCCTGGAAAATTACCTCTGCTTTTAGATCTTATATTATCATGTTATTTATGCTATTGTACTTTTATTATTAGTTTAATAAAAAAATGAAAAAGCAATTTACTATTAAACTATGGGGAATAAATTTAGAAATACAAAGTTTAGCGGAGTATGAGGAATAAGTAATAATTTGCCTGTAATACCTGGTAGAAGAGATAGGAAAATGGTTATAGTAAAGAACTGTGAAAAGAAAGAAGAGAAAGGGAAAAACGTATCTTGTACCTGTGTCAAACACCCACTATGGTTATGCTCACCCAGAGCATGTCCCCCCCCCATATTCCTGTCCTCCAAGGTCAAACACAACCCCTATGCGACCCTCAATGAAATCAAGTTTGACACCCCTGCTCTAAACCAACCATGTCCAAACTTGACAATTTTAAAACTTGTAGACTTCAACTCCCAGAATTCCCCAGCCAGCATGAAGTCCACAAGTCTTAAAGATTGGATACCCCTTTTTCCTGCTTTTTCTTGCTTTCCCAGACAGACGTTCTTATGGGCCCCAATACTTTAGGCTAGGTTTTGTCAAACTGGTTCACAGACCTTTTTAAGGGTCCCCATGAACTTAAGAGTAAGAAGTTTTTCACTGGAGGTTTTTAAAAAGAGACTGGACAGCCATCTTCTCAAAATGTATAGGGTCTCCTGCTTGAGCAGTGAGTTGGACTAGAAGACCCCCATGGTCCCTTCCAGTTCTGTTGAGAGGGGAAACGTTGACTTGAATGCAATTAATTTTCTGCTAGAACTTTGCCTCTTGATCAGGATTTCAGGGATTTTTTTTTAATTAACTGAATCTCTTTAAAAGTTTTTAAAACTGGCTGTCAAACATGAAAATAGTACTGTCCCATCATGATGCAAGCTCCGCTTGCTTCATATATACATTTGATACCACGATGGATGTACAGGAGGGACAGAATTTAAGATGTAATAGCCCCCCCCTCCCCGTTCTTCCCTCCCCATCCCCTGTGGACATCACTCTCTTTTCTCCATGTTCACAAGTCATGAAGTCTTCACCCTAAAAAAAAAGAAATCCTATTATGGCAGTGCTTTTCAAACTTGGCTGCTTTAAGACATCTGCGGAGTCCTTGGTGCTGAAGCACTTCTGAAGTTACCTACTTCGCCAATGAACTTTCTGCAAGAAAACACCAAAGGCTACCAAGTTCAACCCTGAGCTACATATTGATTTAAGATGTCTGGACTTCACCCCCAGAATCCCTCAGCCTGGATGAGTGGACTTCAACCCCCAGCATCTCCTAGCCAGCATGGATGGACTTCAGCTCCCAGAATTCTCCAACCAGCATGCTAAGCTAGGGAATTCTGGGAATTGAAGTCCAGACATCTTAAAGTTGCAGGGTTGAAAAACATGGCGTTATGGCATTTTGAGGCATTTTTTTTAAAGGATGGCATGGAAAGCACAGCATCCTAAAACTAGAATTGAAACATGCAATTGAAGACTCAGTCATCCAGGCCAAAAGTATCTTAAAAGGTTAAATCATGGCAACGGGATCAAACTTTATTAAAACAGAGACATTTCGTTACTCATCCAAGTCACTTCTAAAGGCCTCAGTTTTAATAAACTGTGGTCCAGTTAACCTTTTAAGAAATGGAATTGAAAGGGCCCCCAAAGATCTTGACTGGTTCCTTCACTGTCCTGGAAAACCCATTGACGAGGGCAGTCTCCCTGATCAAAGAACAGGCTGTACATTCTCTCCCCTAACAGTTTATGGCTGGTGGTGGTATAAAGGGGAAGAAGGGGGGGGGGCATGTTGCTGCGGACTCTGAATGGTGGATCTCTCTTTTGTTCAGTCTGAGGATTTCTTCTCCTTGATTGATTCCCATGAGGGGAAGCCTCTGAAGCTAGTGGTCTATAACACAGAAACGGATTCCTGCCGAGAGGTTTTTGTAACCCCCAACGGAGCCTGGGGTGGAGAAGGAAGGTAGGACTTTAGAGTTATGTGAGTGAGTTATGAGATGTGGGCAAGATCAGGCAGATGCTTGGCCTCCTAGCGGCAGGAGTCTCCAACTTTGACAACTTTAAGCCTGGCGGACCTCAACTCCCAGAATTCCAGGAACCGGATAGCTGGTGGTAACAGATTTCTGTTGCTAAGCCAGGAAGTTGTTAAGAGAGTTGTGTTTTACGACCTTTCTTGCCACAATTCTGTTCATTGAATCACTGCAATTGTAGTGAAGTAGTTAAGGGAATCGCTGCAGTTGTTAAGTTAGTAACACGGCTGTTAAGTGAATTGGGCTTCCCCACTGACTTTGCTTGTCAGAAGGTTGCAAAAGGGGGTCATGTGATCCCAGGGAACACTGCAACCGTGATAAAAACCGTAAGTCAGTTGCCAGGGGTCAGAATTTTGATCACACAACCATGAGGTGCTGGGAGGCATAATACATTTTGGGAATAGTCTATGAAGTTTTCTTTGGGGTGGGGGCTGGTTGAGCTGGGATTTTCCCCTTACAGTCTGCATTAAGTGCATAGAAAAACCACCATGACTCCCTTCTGGTCACATGGGTGGCAAGCCACTCCCACATAGGAGCCACTCCCACATTCTTTCTTCTTTGACATCAGTAGAATGTTTCAATAGGTGTGCCATGCATAGGCAGAATCTTTCTCTCCGGCTGGCAGCTGGGTTTCATTATGGCATATTAGAAAACCACCTTTTTTTACTCTCATGTAGAAAGGTAACATAGAATCAAAATCATGTGAAATATTATAAAGCCTTAGTAGGCCCACACCTGTAATACTATACAGTTTTGGTCACCACACTACAAAAAAGATGTGGAGACTTTGGAAAAAGTGCGGAGAAGAGCAACTAAGATGATTAAAGCCCTGGAGACTAAAACATATGAAGGAGCAGTTGCAGGAACTGAGTAGGGCCAGTTTAGAGAAAAGAAGGACCAGGGGAGACATGATAGCAGACTTCCAGTATTCGGGAGTCTTTCACAAAGAAGAAGGAGTCAAGCTATTCTCCAAAGCACCTGAAGGCAGAACAAAGAAGAATGGGTGGAAACTAATCAAGGAGAGAACCAACCTAGAACTAAGGAGAAATTTCCTAACAGTGAGAACAATTAATCAGTGGAACATCTTGTCTCTGGAAGTTGTGGGTGCGCCAACGCTGGAGACTTTTGGGAAGCGATTGGACAATCATTTGTCTGGAATGGTATAATAATGTCCACACTAGATCTAGATTACTGTAATATAGCCCTTGGGGCACCAGCTAGTCTTCCAGTTACTGGCGGCATGGAGGTGCGATGATCAGCTGGCCGGCATGCATGCTCACACCAGAAAACGGGATGCCAGCTCTTCCAGTTTCTGCCACACGCACGAAAGCCACCTGATCATCACGGGCGAATACGTGACAGAAACCCAGAAGAGGAATGGGTGACGCCGCACGTGCCAGGCAACATGACTCCGCATGTCACTTCTGGCACGCATGCCATAGGTTCGCCATCACGTGTCTATAGAGTCTGTGGGGCAAAGACTTAGTAGCGCTTTGCGATCACTGAAAAGTTGAGTTTTCCTATACCATTATTTCCCGTAGCAAGGGGGGGGGGGGCGGGGAGTAGAGATGGTTAAATTGATTGCTTTATTCAAAGAAAAGAACATACCTAATTATGTTTTCATTTGGAAACTGCTTCTGGATTTTGTACTTGTGATTGCAAAAAAAAGTGAAATTTTGATTTTGCGGATTAGATAGATTTGTTGTTGTTGTAGAAATGGCTAATACAGATAGTCCTTGACTTACGACCAGAACAGAGCCCCAAATTTCTGTTGCTGAGTGAAACATTTTTAAAGTGAGTTTGCCCCATTTTATGATCTTTCTTGCCACAGTTGTTAAGTGAATCACTGCAGTAACACGACAGTTAAGTGAATCTGGCTTCCCCCAGTGATTTTGCTTGTCAGAAAGTCACAAAAGGGGATCACATAGCCCCAGGACACTGCAACCTTCATAAATATGAATCAGTTGCCAAGCATCTGGATTTTGAGCATGTGACCTTGGGAATGTTGCAATGGTCGTAAGTGCGAAAAACACTCTTAAGTTACTTTTTTCGGTGCCGTTATAACTTTGAATGGTCATTAAACAAACTGTTGTAAGTTGAGGACTACCTGCACATATTATTGTGTAAAAGCAAAAAGTTCAGCCTTTAATATTATTTTCTCTTGTGCTAAAAAGCCCTTTTCCCCCTTTTCCCCTTCTACCCCACACTTTTCCTTTTCTCCTCTTTTTCCTTTTGTTTCCCATTATTTTCATTTTCCTTTGTATTTTATAGTCGGATAAACTAATAAAACATTTGAAGATGCAGAAAGTAGAGTTTCTCTTAATATTGGGGTTTCTGTTTGCAGTTCTCCTGGTTTTAAAAATCAGAGTGTGCACTCTATTTCCTACAACATTTGCTTTCTTCTGCAGCTTAGGATGTGGCATTGGATACGGCTACCTGCACCGAATTCCCACACAGGCTGCTACCCCAAAGAGAGCAGCAGAGATCTCTTCGTCTTCGCCCTCCAGAGACGCACCCCCAGAATCCCCAGCTAATGGCTACATGGAGGTAAGGAGATTTCATTCTGGACATGGCTTAGTTACCATATTTTTAGGACTACAAGACGCACCGGTGTATAAGACACATCAAATTTCGAAGAGGTAAGTAAGAAAAAAAAGTGTTTGCCTTCCCTCAGCCCCCAGCAGCACTCTGTAGGCTTCAGCAAGGCTGGGGCAAGACAAAAACACCCCCATTTTTGTCTTTTACCAGCCCTGCTGAAGCCTGCAGAGGGTTGCTGGGGCCTGAGGAAAGGCAAAAAAAACCCCTCAGTTTTTGCAAAAAATGACCCGTTTTTTGCAAAATCGGATGCAGGGGCAGGGCTTTGGGAGGCCAAAAATGGCTGAAGTCGGTGTATAAGATGCGCCAACATTTCCATACTCTTTTTGGGGTGGGGGAGGTACGTCTTATACTCTGAAAAATATGGTAACTCCTGTGTACCTTGGGTGCAAATTTATAGCTGGAGTGGGTATCTCAGCCCTGCCGCAGCCCCTTCCTCCAGTTTTTTTAGCAGTTTTTTAACCCCTCCGGGTTCTTTCTGCTGAAATGCGGAGGTTGGTAGCCCAAGAACCGTGGCATAAAATGGATGCGTTAAATTTCTGATATTTCATTCACCACCACCTCTGCTTTGCCTGAGTTATTTCAGGAGGCCTAAATATTCTGGTGAACGTTTATGCTGCTTTGCTAAGACCATACGTGGAATACTACATCCAATTTTGGTCACGTGATACAAAAGAAGATACTGAGACTATGAAGGGTGCAGAAAAGAGCAAAAAGATTAGGAGTCCGGAAGCTAAAGCATACAGTGCAGGAACTGGGTCTATTTAACGAAAGGAAAACTAGGGGTGACACAATAGCAGTCTTCCAATATCTGAAGGGCTGCCCCAAAGAAGAGGAAGTCAAGCTATTCTGTAAAGCACCTGAAGGCAAAACAAGAAGCAACAGATGGAAACTCGTCAAGGAGAGGAGCAACCTGGAACTAAGGAGAAATTTCTTGACAGCTTCTGAAAAAGAAGAGAGTCGATGTAATTCCCATCTCTTTTCTATTTCTGGTAAATAATACCTCACCCTGCCACACTACATGTAAGTCTTCACTTAATGTAAAGTAGAGAAGATTTGTATTTTAGGACCCTGCATTTTAGGACCTAAGGAATTCCCTGTCCCAATTACAGATAATCCTCAACTTACAACAGTATATATAGTGACCGTTTCAGGTTACAATAGCATTAAAAAAAGTTACTTATGACCATCTTTCATACTTCCATACTGTTGTAGCATCTCCATGGTTACATGATCAACATTTGGATGCTTCGTATATATATTTATGACAATTGCAGTGTCCCAAAGACATGTGATCCCCTTTTGCAACCTTCTGACGAGCAAAGTCAACGGGGAAGCCAGATTCATTTAACAACCGTGTTGCTGACTTTACAACTGCAGGGATTCGCTTGACAACTTGGCAAGAAAGATTGTAAAATGGGGCAAAGCTCATTTAACAAATGTCTCAAAAGTAACAGAAAGTCTGGGCTGAATTATGGTCATAAATAGAGAACCACCTGCACTGTCATCTTAACCCAGTAATTTCTTAAACATAGGTTAGTCCAGTATGAAGGTTAAGATGTTGGACTAGGAGACATAAATTCAGTTCTCTGGACAACGATGGAATTCCCTGAGAAATTCTGGGCCTGTTGCTCTCTGCCCTCAGCCCAGCCAACAGGAGTGCTCCATCCAACATGGTGAGGAGTTCCTGAGCGAAAGGCAGGATGTAAAATCTAATCAACAATGCATTTGATTGGCCAAACTGAACCCGAATAAATCATGTTATAGTTTAGAACAGAGGTCTTCAAACTTGGCAACTTTAAGACTTGTGGACTTCAACTCCAGCTGGCTGGAGAATTCACGGAGTTGAAGTCCACAAGTCTTAAAGTTGCCAGGTTTGGGGACCCCTGGTTTAGAATAATCTGTGAATTCAGCCATCCTCCTGTGTTGTTCAGCAGAGAAAGAAGCTTCCTAGAGGGCAACCAAATGGCAGTGGGGTAAGGTCACAGGCGGTCAAAATGGATTCGTTTATTTTAGGCTTCCTTGATGGCACCTCACCCCAAAACTGAAGAAACCGAGAGCTTGGGTTACATCTCCAGTCAAAGTGGGACTCCCTATTCATTAGAAAATTCTCTGCACCTTCCTCCTCCTCCTCCTCCTGTCCAGAGAGTCATGGATCCAGGTAATTCAATATCTCTCCTGTTTAAAAAAAAATTCCTATCCGTGCTAACATTTATGGAGGGTAAATAGCCCAGCACCTCAAAGGGATATCTGGTTGGGCAAAGCACTTGAGAAGTAACATCAGGGCAACATCTGCAGATATACAAATTGAATTTGTTGGCCTCTGACTAGACCAGAGGTGTCAAAGTCAAAGCCCGTGAGCCGGATACGGCCCATGAGGTGCTTAAATCCAGTTGACGGGGTCGGCCTGGAAATCTCCATAGAGCAGCCCACGGTTCCTCTGCTGGCTAAAACAAGCCATGTGCGCCCCACACGCCCTTTGTTTTTCTTCTCCATGGCCTCCTACAGCACTTTTGGCTGAAAACGGGCCAAAAACAGGGTGTTTTCCCGTGAGCTGCTTGGAGAGTTCAAGCAAGGGTTAAATTCTGTCCTTCTGCCCAATGGACTGGATTGAAATTCTTGACCACGCCTCCTGTTCTCCCTGTATCTTCAGTTTTTCAATTCAGTCCATTGCTCATTAGGACATCTTTTTAGTCTCTCTTCTTTTTCTTACCTGTATCCTTTACAGCATTCGGTTCCCTTTTATTCCTTATTTGTTCCTTGCCTAGACCATTTTTTCTTTCTAGCAGCATTAAGTTCCTTTGCCACTCTGCATCGGGACAGAAAGGCTCAGCTCTCCAGGCGTCCCAGGGTAATCTGGACACTGGGAGCTGCTAGCCAGCTGGCTATCTACCGCCGGGGTTTGTCCGTCAGGCAACCCGCGCGGCAAGCCACTGAAGTCTTCAGCAGAGGGTGAGCTTTCGGAGCGGCTTTTCCCTCCACAGTGGAGGCAGCGTGGTGCTTCCCTGGACACCGCCATCTTGTGCTGCCCCCTTACGACGGCCATTTTCGAGCAGCAAAGTTTCCTGCCATTTGCGCAATTGCCGCGTTTTCTCAGTGGCGGCTGGAGAGAGGACAGTAATCGGAGCGTTCTCTTGAAATGGCAGGAATTTTGGGCTATTTCGGAGGGTTCTCTGGCCGAGGCCACCCTCCACATCTATCCTCTCGATCTCTGGTGCACTTCTTCAAAGTTCTCTTCCCCCA